AGCCGTAGTGTGTGGTTCGCTCCGCGCCGTGCAGCTCAGCGCCGAAAGTTACATTTACTTACAGTTAGATTCCGCCGACCGGAGAGGTGTTTGCACTGCTGCGCGAAGAGCAGTCAGTCAGTGTCGACTAGTGTTTAGCCCAACTTACTCAGTGCAATGGTGAATTCTACTGCATTCAAAAATGTATCACAGTGCTTCCCAAATCTAAAGTTCCCTAGGGGGGCATCCCGTCCCAGATGTCTCCGCAGTGTCAATTCTTCCACGAGTCAACTATCAACAGCAACGCCCAAGCTCTAAGGAAAGGCCCAAGAAAACAGTCTCAGCAACCTTAAGGGAAACGGCACCAAACGCAAGGCTAATTCTCCCCACTGCAAAGAAAGTGAACCAATCAAGAACAGATTTCTCCCGTTCGGACATGAGATGGAAGAATACTGCGAAGAAAATCCCCGACTTCCGACCCCGACCCTAAAGCGCCAACCTCATATTTATTCATAAAATAACCAACCATAAAGAACTCATACTATAAATAATTCGTTAATACGTTACCCTTGGAGATAATTTTACCACCCAAATTAAAGAAACGTTAGTTAATAATATTATATCAATATGAGTTTTCAGAAAAACTATGCACTTTTCGCCCAATATAAGTGCTATATCACACGTTCAGAGACCCATCAGTCAATAACTTTGTTGCAGTGATCCGCGGAGTGCCGATTAAGAAGAAAGCGAAATTGCTGATGAACTTAACAAGGCTAATATACAGAACGTCAAAGTAACTCGCTTTCTAAGATTTGAAAAATCTCCAATGCCATTACGTGCAATCTTAGGAATGACAGGTCAACCTTTGAAAAAAGCCAACAATCCAATTAACTTTGAAAAAAGATTTAACATCAATAGACTTTTTAGTGCCGTGGTGGTAATAATTGAATTCAAATTTCATTCATTGTAAAATATGTCAGGACTTCGAACACACACAAAATTACTGTATTTAACTCCTAAATGTGTAAGATGTGTAAATTGTAATGAAGCACATTTACCGTCATCATGCAACTTCAGATATTTGAAAAAAGGCAAGAAGCGTTCAGACAAAGTTCATCTAACTATATTCACAAGCAGCTAAGAAGACGACTCCTTCCCCCTTTTGCTCTCCTTCACTCCCCTCTAGTCACTAGAAGGAAGAGTCTGGAACCAAGAATTCTGTCTTAGAAACCCTCCCCAACGTGCCTTACCCCTCCTCTTCCTCGAAACCCTCCCTCTAACCTCATAGCAGCTCCCTACATGCAAAAATAACACACAAGAAACCAATAATCTCAGAAATAAGTAATGAAAGCCCTCATTTCCCTAACCAACAAACAAATGTATTTATGTCAAAAACAGGTAAAATCTGGATGTGACGTGCTATGGGGAGAATTTAATTGAAGTTACATTTATCCAATCCAAATAGCTCTTGCACCACATCCATGACAATGACTTGTCAACATAAAATGCCGTCAACAATATTACATTTATCATTATATATTCCATTCGATTGCATTTGTTTATAAAAAAATCGACAAGTTATTGTACCATGTATTATGAGTGTATAAAGTGTTGTGATTTCTAGGAAGATAATTGGAGCTTTGTTGACGTTTCGACTTGTATATGCTTTATCGCGAACAATATTGTTAATTTCGAGAAATTCAATAATCCGATATTTCTGCTTTTGAGTTTCTGTGTTAGTATGCATTATTAATTGAGAAATACCCCCCTACTTCGTAATGAATGAAAGTGCAAATTTTAAAAAAGCGTATATTTTTTTTAATTCTAATGTTCCTTTGTAAAGGATTCTTTGGTTGGCATGAATTGAATGCTACTATATCATGAAAGTTATACGTGTATGTATATGTATAATGTATATATAAATTCATTTATTTCATCTTAATTTCCAAACATAATTATTTGTGATAAAATAGTGTTCAAAGTCCTCGTTTGCTCATTTTATCATTGCGGCAAAAACTAAAATATCCCGTTTTTGTAATTTCAAAATATGGTCACTTTACTAGACATCATTCTCGGTTTACCTGACTTACAGACCATTTCAACTGACAGATCTCTTCGAACCGCGATCGGAGTAACAATTTTCATTAACAAACGGATTCGAAATGATCCTATGCCACCGTATCACTCCTGGACTTGAAAATATAGCAATAGCTCTTCATCAGTCACACGGTACTCCAATTAGTCGCAGCATATAAGCCTCCTAACATTCCCCTCCCAAAGCAAACTCGCTTAAACACTGTTCTCAAACCCGACTTCTATGGTAGCCATAAACGACTTCAACGCCAAACATACTACCTCATGGGGATGCAGATCATGGCTTCCCCGGCACTTAATGACCCATCGAATCGAAGCTGAGGAGACTCGTAGCTTATTATAACTAGTGGTGCCACAGAATGGCACAGACTTTCTCGTAGGAAACCAATACCTTCACTAATCGGAAACTTATCTACAAACAATTTAAAATGATGTACGCAAAATATTGCATCGTCATTCAGTGAGCCGCCATCGTCGTTTTCTTACATATCTCAACCTCGTATCTTTTGATAAATAAATAAATATATTGTCAGGTATCAATATTTTAATTCCAATTAATTCGTATCTTTTATCGTATTTTCTTTAGACATTTTAGAATTTAAGTAATGACGTAGGTACGAGAAGAATTGCAATATTTTGGTTCGTAACCAAAAACATTACACGAATCTATTGCAGTAATAAAACTATTTCAACTAATGTACTCGTATACTTGAAATACAATTACTACGTAAGTAGTGCACTATGACAATTATACCAGTGTTTTTTAACAGTATTCCACTCAATTATTTTATTAAATAAAAATTTCTCAAACTTGATGTCATATTCTTTGTATAATTAAAAATAAACGATTGTTAATAACAATATATACCAAATTCTTGAGCGAAAAATAAAAAAAAAATCACATTTGCGGAAGTATATACAAACATTTGACATGTTAGAAGATAAATATTTAGATAACTTTTCAATTGACGCGATGGTTAACTGTTCATTTCTGTGCAATACAAATTTTATTCTGTAAACGATTAAAAAACCAACATTTTTCGGAATTTTTTTGCTTTTTCGAGCACTAAATATCTTAGTCGAAATCAAGCTGTCGGAATTTCGCACAGAACTGAACTCTTTTTCCTATGGGGAATTTCGGGGTAATATCCCATAATTTTGAGAAAAATTGGTTCGAACGTTTCCGAAAATTCGACACTTTTAGTTCCCATATACTTAAATGCTTTTTATCAATGATCTTTTCATCAATTTTATTAATGATGGATTTTTCAAATACTATCATCAGAGATACTTCCAAGCTTATGTATTAACAAGCGTATTGAACAATGAAATACATCTGTAATATCAATTTCAACGACGTGGGAGATATTTAAAAACATTAAATGTGTCCTGTTTGAAAAATCAAACGAATACATGAAAACGTGATTTATAGGATCATAAGTACAATCAGCACTATTCGAACAAAAAGTTTTAAGAAAAAATTTAAAGCCGTTTGAGATAATCGTTGTTTTATTATTTTTTAATGTTGCCCCTATTTTAATCGAAATTGTTCGAAAAATTATAAAATATTTGAAATCTGTAGTTTTAGGAAGACAACCGGAAATAATTCAATCTTTTGAAATTTTCAAAACTTCAGTTAACTCTGAAAATCGGACCTATGTCACATTTATAAACATGTTTTACTCTTTTCTTACGAGAAATTTCAAGAAAACATTTTGAGCCGTTTTTGAGAAAATTTTGAAAATGTCCCAGAGGCTTTATGTAAAGTACCCCCAAATTGTAAAGTATGTTTTTCAAAATCTCAAAGCAAACGGACCAGGGATTTCTTCAATTTCGAAAAATTCTTATGCATGGTTTAGGCGCTAGTTGTGTTCACAGACCAACGGACAGACGCACAAACGTTTTGAAAAACTTTTTCGGTATAAGGGGACCCCAAAACGCGTATTTCCGTTGAAATCTCGAAAACGATTTTCCGCAGAATTACATAAGTAAAAACCACAATTAGCAAACTTTTAATTTTAAAACTAATGTGTGTTAATGCAAGTGTAGCCATTATTATTTTCTCGTATACGTACGTATATACAGAGTAAATACTTGGTAAATTTCGGCGGATTTTCGACAGAAAAAAAATCATTGTCGGGCTCTGATAACAAAAAAGTCGATAAATCCAGTGGCTAAATTAAAAAATCTAGCGGTGCTACAGAATTACAGACTTTCCCGTAATAGTTTTCTATTCCCTTTGGTCTCTGCTAGCTTTGCGAACTTGCCTCTTGCCAGCTGCATCTATTGCCGCCCCAAAGTGCATTTTTGTTTTGAAATTTTCTTAATTTTTCGGTTTTCTAATAATATATAGGTTATATTTTATAAAGGTTAAGTATTAATATTAAAGAACACTAAAACCTAGCCGTTAGTTGAAAGTTTCTTTGAAAATTTTGCAGCCGTTTTTAAGAAAATGGCGCTTAAACGCTTCTGTAAATTCGAAATTTGAAGCACATTTTCCCAGAAAATGTTTGAGTTTTCAAAAAACTTCGATTGGAGACATTTGGATGTACTCACAAATAGTGTTTACAAATTGCTGGAAACGTGCATATTAACAGGGTGAGAGATCTTTCAAAAAAGTGCATATGTGTAATTTTTGAAAGTACCTTAAAATGAACTTTACTTCATTTTAAAGAGTGCAAATAGTCCAACCATTCGATAAGTTTATAGAAGATATTTGATGTGTTTTTGAGAAAATGGTTGAGCGCTTCTGAAAATGTGAAATTTTGAGCTAGTTTTCACAGAAAACGGTTGAGCTTTCAAGAAACTTTATACATTATTTAAAGCACATGTACTCATAAATATAATAACGTGAACAAATCACTGCTAATATAAATATAATCAATGTTAAACACAAGTAAAAAACACATTTTTGTAATTTTTGAAAACACAAAAGAGTAATATGGCATCTCATATCAAAAGTTGAACAAAAAATTTTGAGTGTTTTTTTTTTTTAATTGCACATATTGCTGGCAATATCGCACGAAAACTACTCAAATATTTAAAAATGTGCATGACCATTATGTAAGAACACCCTATGAAGATCAAATTTTATGGGAAGAAAAAATCTGTATTTTAATTTTTTCTCAAAACCGGTTTCAAATATTTTCTTCAAATGTTCATAACAGATAGCACTAATTGCACTGTTAAAATAACATAAAATTTATTTGGCTGTATTCATTTATTTTTTCCAAAATTATACGAATGTAACTTTTATAAAATATCTCTCATGCCTTTATCAGGGCAGCAACAATTAATTTTGCAATAGGCACTGAAAACCCAAACATCAGTTCCAGTACAATGTTTTAAAAATAAAAATTTGTAGAATACACAAAAATTATCTTAGAAGTCTTGAATTGTTTGTGTTTATCCAATAATTCTGAAAAGAAGGTTTTCTTCAATCTTCTCAAATACAAATTCAAATTTCAGATCACAATTCTACAAGGCATAAGAAAACTAATGTGTTTAATACTTCAAATTCAAACTTAAAATTCAAATTAAATAACAAATATCAATTTACAACACTTTCAATAAAATATATTCTCATATTATCAAGGAAATTATAATATTAGCAACTGGAAATTAATTTTTATTGATGAACTATTTTTAATAATTTTACTTGTTAGTTGAATTTGTTTGTTTTGAAATAACTATTATAAAAAATTCAGTAGAAAAGGACACATCAAGGGAAAACGCAACACTGACATGTATACAAAAAACCTAAAAGAAAAATCCAAACATCTCTGCAGGTACAATTTTAAATGCCTAACAATATTCTTCAGTATTCTTAAAATTAAATGCTACTTACAAAGATCTGAAAATAGAAAAATGGGCACAAAAACAAAGTATTCATTTTCTGTCAGTAGGTGTTGGCAATATCAAAATTTGCCAAAAAGAGCCCACTAAAAAAACACCTTTTGACACTATTTAATAGTTAAAGTATTTACAAGAAGATATTTCGGAATCATCACTATCAATGATTATCTGCACTTCAGTGGAACCTTACCTACTGCATTACGATTCCTTTATCAAAGCCTTTCATCTTTTTTCAGGATGAGTGTAATGACCTGATATGAAGGTGTTGATGAAACACTGAAAGAAGATGGAGAAATGGGGAACCGAGAAGCATGGATCGAAGCTCCCTGAAACAACTTAGTGCTGTTTGTCTATCACAAATTCCACATGATCACCATGAATTATTGTACCCTGGTCCCAGTAATGGAAGGCAACGGATCTGACCACAACTCCATGAAACTATTACATCACTATTTCAAGTTATGTAATTTCAAAACCTTTCAGAGTAATGCAAAATAACTTTTCTTTTTGAATGAATGAAAGTTAAAAGTCAGAATTTCTGCAGAAATGTGTATTTTCTAGTGCCACATTTCAAACACCAACTTTTGTTTTGTATGTTTTCCCCTTCAATCATTGAAATTAAGGATTTCTGTTATGAAACAAATCAATTTGCACATTTACATACAAAGTGCTCTGTTATACAACTACAAATTTAAGTCATATTATTTAATATATTCACTGACTTCAGAATATACACTATAATTGCAACTCTTCACTTGGTGGTAAAGAAGCAAATGCCTTATCAAGTATGTCTGGTGTAACTTCTTCCAGGGTAGATGGTTTCCATTCTGGTTTACGACCCTTGTCAATCAAAAGAGCTTTAACACCTGTAAGCATTTATAGAACAAATTCAATTTACATTCAGAACTTAAAGTACATTCTTATCACTTAAATCATATATATTTACCTTCAATGAAATCATGACCTTCACAAGCATGACAACCTAGACGATATTCCATAATCAAACATTCTTGCAAATTCATGCAGGCACCCTCTTGCAATTCTCTGTGTGAAATTTTCATGGATGTAGGAGACATTTGTTTTAACGAGTCCAACAATTTCACAGCCCATTCGGATCCATCTTTCTCTAGCTTCTGAAAGATTTCTTCAACACACGATGCTGAGAAACACTGATCAATTTGCTTTAGATAAGGAGCAAGGCTAAAGTCACCTTTATTGCCAGAACTTTTCTTGGAAAATTCATCAAGAATCTTAACAGCATTGTTTTGGGGATCTGTACAACAAATTAAGGCCTTTTCCAATTCAGGCAATTTAGAACTATCACAAAAGTGAGATGCAATACCAGCTTTTACAACATCATTTCCTTTTAATCTATGGCCAGATAAAGCCAGGAAAAGCCCTAATTTTCCGCCGAGACGAGGGAGAAAGAAACTTCCACCCACATCAGGAAACAAACCAATAGCAGTTTCTGGCATGGCAAAAAGAGTTGTTTCTGTTGCAACTTGGTACGTTCCATGCACAGAAAGTCCAACTCCACCACCCATTGTGATGCCATGAATCAGCGCCACATATGGAATCTGGTAAGTACCAATGAGATTGTTCAATGTATATTCACAGCGAAAGAAGTTCTTACCTACACAAGTATCACCTTTTAATGCTGCTGCTGCAATAGCTCTCACATCTCCACCAGCACAGAAAGCTTTCTCTCCAGCTCCTTTAATTATAACCATACTTTTTTCTTTCTCCCACTTTTTCATAACAGGAAATATTTTCTCACACATACTTAGGTTAAGTGCATTTAAAGCTTTTGGCCTGTTGAGAACAATTATGCCTTTATCTTGGGCTGATTCAAATAAAACATCATCGGCTGGTTCGGACGACATTGCTCTAGAAAAACATATTGCCATCTGACGTATCCTAACATGACTAGCTTTGGATGATACACTTGTTCTGCACGCGAACATCTGTGAATGAAAGGATATATCACGTAACAACAGTATTGAAAAGAGGACAATGCATGAGAAACATCCACGGTTAGGTTTACCTTGAGGATGATTTGAACGAGCACAACTCCCACAGCTGATCACGAATCTAAGTATTATTGTATTGCTTGGCTAAGCATGAACTTCAGAGTATTAACCCAAACGACCTATGATCTGCCATTTAAATAGTCTGCCAAGGACACAACCATGAAAATTCTTTGCTCATGTCACTCTGGAAAAAGAGCGCGCGAAAAACGAACATTAAGATATTACAGTTGCAAGCGGAGCTTGTCATAGCGGCGGCCTCAGATTTTCACTATACGAATACGTGTGTAAATACTAAAAAATAAGTATTAAAGTGGAAGTTATGTGTTGATAAAGAAACATACAATCCTTAGGTCTTCTTGGGCTAATACAACATGTTCTTAGGGGATATTTATTTTTAAGTTCCAATTAATGCTGCGGAAAATCAAAGATGCAATAATTTAAAAACAAGTGATTTGTTTCTGTTTCAATGACTTGTGATAATTTTGGCATTTAAAATTCCCGCTAATATTATGATGCAAAGTGGTGCCTGAAGCTTATTTTCTGAAGCCGAATAAGATACGCAAGAGCCCAACCGTTTCCACCACGGGTTCACTCATGTCTTTTGGTCATGGTCTTCACCCTCTTCACGCCAGTTAAAACTCGATTTCAGTCATGGCTTATCTTGTTTCCATTTGTCGTATTCGCGTTTGTGAAGATTATGAGGTAATAAGTACCATGGTGAAAATCGAGATATGAACATTTACAAATAGAGGAAGACTTGATATGGCTCATGGCTGGTATGGCTCATCTTAATATTGACATAGGTCCTTCATATCTATTTTTTTTTCATAGTTGTAATTATGTAAAGGTAAGTATTTATTTCCAAGTATGAAAGAAAATTCAGTAGTACCTGGAGTAATGACGGGGGGGGGGGCGATAAAAAAAACGGAAATCGTAACATTGGTTCAATTGTGTTAATTAAAGTGAATTTAAGAAGAAATGAGGAAATAATTTATTATTTACAGTGTAGGTATTAAGAAATGTACATCAATTTCTTACTTATTAAAATTTTATGAGCAGAAACAAGTTATAGTTTATTTGTTTTTATTTAGTATTTCTTTACTAATTGTTCCGTTTTCCACTGATAAATACAAAGTTCATTTCTGAATCAATTGTTTAAATTAATTAAATCATATCAAGATTGTAATTTTACTCGAAGATTTTTTCGATTTATTTACTTAATAAATTACGAAACAGAGCCCAGATAATTGCATTTCTGAATAATGCAAGTTTCACTATAGATAATACTCAATTTCGTTTTATTCAAAAGCAACAGTTGTTTTACAAACAGAAAAATAGCGCAGTTTAAGTAAACATCCCAATATTTATGTTGTTCAGTACCAGCAAGAAAAATAAAGCACAAGGGAAACTAGTAGTACTACAACAGCACGTTCTATTTTCCTACTCATATCGTTTCCCCATCTTCTTTTGGCCAGAGAAGTACAGCAACTCGTGTCATGGATTCAACAAGTCGGAAGTCTTCTGCAGAAATCTTGAGCCATGCTACCTCTATAGCCTCCATAATTACGAAAGTGTTGCTGGTGCATAATTTTGTGCACGAACTGACCTCACGATTATGTCCCGTGAATGTTCGGTGGAATTCATATCGGGCGATCTCGGTGGACATTCGCTCGAATTGTCCAGAATGTTCTTCAAACCAATCGCGAACAACTGTGGCCCGTTGACTTGGCGCATTGTCAACCATAAAAATTCCATCGTTGTTTGGAAACATGCAGTCCCTGACTAGCTGCAAATGGTCTTCAAGTAGCTCAACATAACCAATTCCAGAAACTGATCGGTACAGATGGTCCAGAGGACCCAGTCCATTCCATGTGAAAACAGCACACATTACGGAGCCACCACCAGCTTGCACAGTTCCTTATTGACAATTTGGGCTTCGTGGGATCTGCGCCAGAATTGGGGAGGAATAAGGGTAAGGTTTAGGACGCTATACAGGGATTGGACTAGCCCCTGTGAAGCATGCTAACTCGTTTTGTCGTAACAAATTTCACATGAGATTCTAAGGGGATCGAACCTCAGTGGTGAAGGCGAGCGACTTCGCCACTGGGCCAGGAGAGCATTTCTGACTTCAAAAAACATGGCGGCCACTAGTTCGGCGAGCCTCCACCAGAGCGCTGAAACTATAAGGACAGCCACTCTATGTAGTATATTCTCGCTCGTTGGTTTCAACCTAACTGCATTGTTTTGCTATGTACGTGTTAGCGGTTTCACATAATTTGTTCCAATTGTCTGAATTCTAATGAAAACAATTAGATCACCTTTAGTAATTTATTGAGTGATCAGCTGATTCAAATGTTTCACTCAAGTTTAAACATAATTTATATTCTGATTAATCATCATTCAACAGCCAATTATTACATTCGTAATTTATGAATCTCAGTTCACGTTATTATATTAAAGTCAAAGTGAAATGCACATCTTAAACATTTCCTTTCCCTGTAGCTCCTATTGCTAGTCCATTTCAGAAAGCTATTTCAGGTAAGCACAACGGCATCTACGCGTCCTGCGTGGTGGTCCTTCGACAGAGATGAGTATATCATAGATTTATTAAATTAAAACTGAATCTATTAAGGTAAGTAGTGCGGCAAGCAAAACTATTACCTACAATCCACTGCTCCTCGCTTGCCCTTCTAAATATTTAATGTAATATTTGGGCTACCTTTATGCAAAAAATTAACCAATGACAAAATACTTATTTTTTCAAAAATTTTAATAGAGTTCACACTATTTTCTTTGGCACACGTGAATAACTTAGTGTACTCTATCACAGGCTCCCGTATGAGTAACGAGAACTGAATAACTCTGTATCTTCTTCCGGCGCACTTAAATATCCATGATTTTTTTTTTAAAAGACAGGTATTACTTATTTCAGGTTTTATGTAACAAGGACGTGAAACAGGTGATTCACGCACGAGTCGATTTTGTCGTCCGAGTCACGGTGTAAGAAATATCTTGCACCATGTCCGAACGTAGCGAGGACGAAAAAGAGACGAGTGCGGGAATAACCTCGGGTACGTATTCGTATACTATTTTTTTTAACACGCCAAGAGCAAAAGGTCAAGTAAATATACGCAATGCAAGTAAAGGATTATAAATCAAATATCAAATAACTACTTGAACAAAAGTAAATTAATTCCAGTCTGTGTCTTTACACTATTGTTTGTAAACAATAAACAAAGACGTCAAGAAGAAAGAAAATTGCGAATCGTTACAGGTGTTTCGCACACTAAGCGTAGTGGTGTTACAGAATGGCATAGACATTCCAGAATTAGTTTTCTATTTCCTTTGGTCTTGGCCAGCTATTCAAACTTGCCACGTGTTCTTGCCATCTGTCATCTATCGCTGCCCAAGTACATTATTTAAAATTTTATTAACTTTTTCGGTTTCATAATAGTACAACTGAAATATTATTTTAAGAATATTAAAAAACAGTAAAGCCTCCACAAAATGAAAATTTTCTTTGAAAAATTTGGAGCTGTTTTTAAGAAAATGGCGTTTAAGCGCTACTGTAAATTCAAAATTTGAACCTCTTTTCACAGAAAATTATTGAATTTCCGAAAAACTTTATATAATAATTTCAAGCATTTCCAGTCACAAATATAACAGTGTTTACAAATCGCAGGAAATGTGCATATTAATGGCGTGAGAGAGATTTACAAAACTACATTTGTATAATTTTTGAAAAAAACAACAACAAAATAATACGGCACAATTAATTTTGCCATCTTAAACAGTGTAGTTAGCACTATACTTTCGAAAAGTTTGCAGAAAAAATTTGGAGCGGTTTTTGAAAAAATGGCTTTGAGTGTGTTTGAAAATGCGGAATTTTGAGCTAACTTGAACAGAAAACGGTTGAGTTTTCGAGAAACGTTATCTAACATTATATAAAGCACACATTCTTATAAGTAAATGAGTGGAACAAATTGTCGTTAATGTAAATACTAATGACTAATTTTGAAAAAAACAACAACAAAAGAATAAAGCAATATGGCGTTTATGTTATCGTACAGTATATATCCCTACCAAAAGTTTAAAGAAGAAATTTGGATCCGTTTTTGAGAAAATCTAGTTTTTGCAATTTTTTTAAGTTGCACATATTGCGCGAAAACTACAACATTTTGCAAAAAACGTACATGACCTTAATGAAAGAATTCACTAAGGAGAATAAATTTTACTTGAAGGAAAAATATCTATCTTACATTTTATAGTTGTAGGAAGACGCCGTAAAAATTCAAACTTTTGCAATTTTCAAAAATTCAGAGTTAACAGTGAAAATCGGACCTAAGCCACCTTGATAAGAGTATTTTACTCTATTCTTACCAGAAATTTAAACAAAAAAAGCAGCTTTTGAGAAAATTTTGAAAATGTCCTTCATTAAAGAACCCCCAAATTTTGAAAAACATTTTTTCAAAATCGCGGCACCTCCAGTGGAGCCAGATCGATTGGGAATATTCGTTTTGGAAAAAATCGTACATACGGTTGAGGCGCTAGAGGTGTTTACAGACTGACGGGCGTTTTGTTGTCAATTGGTTTTTCGGTATCAAGGACCCACGAAACAGGGATTCTGATTACATCACATGTTAGCAGATTTTTTTCTCTTAATTTGGCAATTGGATTTATTCATTTTTTTTATTATCAGAGCCTGGCAATGATTTTTTTCTCCCAAAAATCAGCTGTTTTTTCGCAAAGCATTACGGAACTTTTCCTATACAATGTATTTTACTCCATATAAACGCATGTATATCAGAAAGTAAAAATTAGCTGTTTAGCACAATGCGCGATAAGATGATGAAAACAAGCGCGAGAAACCGCGTTTCGCGCAATGCGTATTAAAAAATAAATATGTTATAACAAGAATTATCTCTTCATTTCTCAAAAACGTTTTTTAAATCTCGAAACGAGGACGTGTGTATAATTAAGAGTTATTGACAATGTCATTGGCAGCGGGCGCAAAAAGTCTTTGGACCCAGAAAGAAAATGTAAGAAAACTACATTATGTTTTCGAAAATGCATCGCTGCGCAGATGTCAAACTTTCTTTCTACATCTCCAGCCCTCACATTCACATAGGCCTCATCCTCCACAATACTTTACTATTCTTAGTATGCCTTTTTGTCTATTTAATTATTAGGTCCATCAAATTTCCTGCTTTTTAGCTTTAGCTTTCATTGAGCAAAAGGGTAACTTCTTTGCTTTTGACCTTCTTGCTCTATGTCAATTAAAAGAATAATACAGTGCAGAAATGAGACATGCATTGGTTGAGACTGCGAGCCATGTGAAATTTCCAATGTGAAAGGCTATGTTGCTGAGTAGTCAAGTTTTAATGTTTTTTTTTAAAACAGTTTTGCAAATATATTTTTATCTAGAAAGGACATACTTTTTTTTTTGTTTAGAGACATTAATTTAGAGGAAGAACATTAAGGTAGAAAGATTAATCCAAAATTTAGAAAAGGAAATGTTATTAAGAAACCTAGGTTACACAGACAAAGTTTTATAAATTCTAAAGAAGTAATCATTGTAGAAAGATAGGTGAAGATTGTAAATGTGGTTTAAAATGTTTTGAGACCCCACATCTTAGTCCAGAAGAGATTTTATTTCAATAATTTGGTCACCAAAAGATATTCAAGACACTTGCAGGGGCTTACACATTATGCTCATTTCTAGTGGTGAAAGCTATGAACTACATGCACATTATTAATGTCAATGTCATTAAACATGATGGAAGATGAAAAGAGATGGAACATGCCCAAGGGAAATTTCTCTAGAAGTTGATTTTACAAAATTACATTGGTTGTAATGTTCAAGCTATACAGTCCTCTTTTCACCTAACTAATCAAATGAATCTAAATCCAATCAAATTAATCGTTAGTTCAAAAATGGAATTTAAACCAAAATAAAATAACTTCTTTTAATATTAGTACCTTATAAACATCTTCAGGTTATCAATTAGCGCTTCATGAAAAACTGTTCTCTGAAACATTTGTAATTGACTTTTACGTCAATGAGAAAAACCACAATCAATTGAAACAAATTTCTTACGAAATTGCTAGCCAGAAATTGACCGCAAACTTATAGATGACATATTTTGCATTATTACACAAAACTAATGTACATATGAATTCTACTTTTGCAAATTTAATAGTTAGATGCAATTGAAGAAAACAGATTGTTTTATGAAGGTGTTAAAGTTCTTAAATTTAAGTTAAGTTGAAATAACTTACCATATATCTGTAAATTCGATTCATATTTCAACAACATTGGTCAATTAATGTTCCTAATATTCACACTATAACAATATAAAATGTCAATGGATGTTGTTTCTTAAAAGGCAAGGGAACAAGAAAAAAGGAGGCATTCTCATACTTGAACAATGGTTAAGAAGAAATACAAAACACTTTTTTAAAAAAGTCAGTATATTTTCTGGTCCACAAGTCCACGAGTTACAAGATTATCTCAATATATTACTGAGTAGTCATGAAAATACCGAAGAATAATACCTTCTGAATGAAAAAATGTTCACAGATTCATAAGATGTGAAGTTGAGATGAGAAGATAAAATAAAATATGTTTTTCATAATGCTTCTCATGAAATGTTTGTGACTCATTTGCTTTTACCAGTAGCACGAGATCTCAGAGATTTCTTCGTGTTTTGATCTACCTCTGGTAGTTCATCATCCTCAATGTTACGTTTGTCTACAAAAGGACAGAAAGAGCAGTTCATTAAGAACAAACTAAGAATTACGTGAAATAATAATAATAGAATCCTGTTTCCAAGCAAAACATTCAGAAGAAAAGCATTATAAACATGATACTATTAATAACAAAGAAAATAACTGAAAAATACAAAACATACAAATTAAAAATGGAAGGGTCATATTAGCACTGAATAAGGACAGCTTTAAACTGTTACAAAATAATATGGCTATCTCAAACAAAAAGAATGTACAGATTATATAAATGTAAGCTGATGAGTAAGGCATTTTTATGGCAAAGAATGGAAAAGTCATCTCTCATCTCCATTGTGATAACAAGAGTTCCTTGATTCTTAGAGGTCGAACAAAATAGCTGTATAATAGGAACTCCAAAGGAGCAACGACCTTGGAAACACAGAAAAAGTAAAAACAATAATTCACCAAAATAAATGTAACTAATTTTCTATATATAAAAAAAAAGAAAGAAAAAAAAAGAAAGGAAAAAATAAATAAATAAATTCTAAAATCTAACTGTAGCACCTAGCATATACATGTTTTTAGTTATTGAAAGAGTATCAACAGAAAATTCAGGAAACTTAAGATTTGAAATAAAAATCAGAAATATTTCTTAGAATTCAAAGAATTTATTTATTCCATCTTTGAGATTTAACTATTTACAAATTATTTTAATTATCATATAAAAACTGGGGGGAGGAATTCAGAAGTACAAATTTTCTGAATGCAATTTTTATTATAAATTATTTTTAACAACTGACTGCCAGCACCAGATATATAAAAAATTAACATTTGTAAGTTTTGGCACATCAAAATTCGAACTTCAGTCTGCTTTAGCAAAACGTTACATTTATTGTCAGGAGAAAGGAAAGACTATTTCATGGTGTTCATGATGAAAATAAATTAAGGAAATGTAGTCTTGAAGAAATTGTATAATGATTGCATGGCAACTTAATTCTAATTTGCACATCTATTAGCACTAAACATAAAGACTACATACATTTTTCGAAGCAACATCAATCCTACTTTTGAAGAAGAAGATAGTTATTGTAATCAATAACAAAACATTCAGTGTGCTAAAACCAATTAACTAGTCACTAAGAACACTTTTAGTAACAAAACAGCCAATCTGAATGCTTATATTTGTGCATAAATGAAAAAAATAGAGAGAAAAAAGAAAGAAAAAGGGGGGAGGGGGAGTAGTAGTTAGAAATTATAAAATATTTTATACAAACATCTCCATTAGCTACAATACTTAAAGAATATTTAATCTTTTCATAATAAAATACCGTTTTCATACACATCACTGTCAATTAATGACAACTCTTCGCTCACTCTACTAAATTCAGACTGATCCTATTTCTACAACAATCTTCATAAACTACAAAATGACTTAGAAAATCCACAAGAATAATGGTAACAAAATTAAATGCTCCATGCCATATCATCAAATTGTGTCTGCATTCAAATGTATTACACAAAATGTTACTGAAGCATATTAGAACAAGCTTAAAAAGAAATACCTTTTATCGTAAATAAACTACTACTCTCAAAAAAAGACTCAATGATTTTATAAAAATGCAACATCAGTCTGTCTACATACTTTTAGATTCATCCTTCTTCTTTTTGGAAGCAGATTTCTTATCTTGACGTGGCTTGCGAACAGCAGGTTGAGCTGCAGTGAGTTCCCGCCTTCTTTTTAAGTGGAATGTAATGAAATTCCACATCAACCATGCTTGGAGACCAAACACAGCACCAAGGGCACTTATTCTAAAAACATACAATGATTACAATGTTACAGAATAGGAACTATAACAAAATTAAGGCACTTCTTCTTTGATAAATAGGTAATCTTATTAAATAACCATATAATAAGCTATGTCATAAATCAGTAAAAAAGTAATTTACTTTCTGTTTAGAAAATACTTCAATAACATTACTTAAGTATTTGAAGGTATGTACTGATACTTTAGCATACCATACCTGATAGCTTGAGTGTTGAAGTTTCCAGTGGTCAAATCCAAACCCTGATTCTCACTGAGTGATAATCCATACCAGAATGTGAGCACCGATAAGATGATGGATCCAAGTCGGACCCAAACAAATACCACATTGGCCAAGTGATATCCCACTACAAATAAAGTTTTTAATAAAATTGCATTCCATGGAAAATGTTTAAAAAAAGTAATAAAAAAATAAAAAACAACAACATACTTTTACTTCCATTTTCAGCCTTGTCAGCAAAGTAAAGGAGACGGGCAGCATGGAACAATCCTTCTGATGCGTAGTGCAAAACTAATAAACAAATACCAACACGAGTAAAACTGTAAAAAAAAACAAACAACAACAGTGATTACACCACAAAAAAATATCAATAAATTTATCCATAAATTGTACTATATTGTTATAATGAGCTGTACACAACTGCAAGACTTCCATATAAATTGAGATCATGAATGTAAAATGACTTTTGTATTTCACATTTATGTAAAAAGTTTTCTACAAAAAGAATGATCTACAGATCAATTTAAATGAATTAATTTTTTTTATTTAAAAAGAATTAATTAGAATCATAGCAATTTCTTACACTTAATGCTTTGTTTGGATTCATTTTTAAATAAATTATGCAATTCCAGAAGTATGTTCATCTTCTTCTTTAAAAGATTAAGACAGACTAATGAAAGCAATGCAGCGGTGTAATGAAAACTACACATTAACTACTTACTTCAACAAGTAAGAAGCCAGAACATAAAAAAGGGCTAAAGTTGCATATTGTATGCGAGCAGGCATTTCTTCTCTTTTAATTTTTTGAAAATACAATTCTGGATAGCAATGGAACCAATAAGCAAGTTGCACAATAAAGAAAAACTTGGACATGAAAACCATTTGGTGATGAGGATAACCTTCCCATAATGAAGAAATATCAAGTAAATAATTCTCTCTGAAACAGAAAATGAAAAAAATACAATAAACGGTTTATTGTTTATTACTTAATACAGCATTCCAACAATGTTTGCAATAATAAAATGCGACCAATTACCTGAAAATAACATCACCACCCCACAGCACAGACATAACATAAAACACCAACAGTTGACCCGATTCATTAAATTTGCTGTGCTTCACCTTTGAAAGATGAAGTTTGCGACTAATTTTCTGAAGAAAATAGAAAAATATCAAAACTTACACTTTCCACCCACACATCTGATTTAGCCCTACATTTGATTTATTAAATTATTTACGCACTAAAACATTCGATTATTGTTTCAATTCTCTTAAATGATAAAAATGAGTGAACGTTCGAAATTTGTGTTCTCTAAGATTTCTGATAGTTGGGGAATACTGTCGTAACACACACTTCAGACTTTTCAGAGATGAAATTACTACATTGGTTCAAATCTACCCAGAGTTCATAATGCAATAAATCTTAGTTACCGTTGAGTTGAAAATAAGGAAGAATTATCAGAAATGAAGAAAATTTTTTTCAAATACCTTCCAAAATGTTTGACTGTTTTAACTAAA